GATGGTTGGTAATGGTGGTGGTTGTGATAGTGGTGATCATGGCTGGTAGTGGTGGTGTGTGGTGATGGTTGGTAGTGGTGGTGTGGTGATGGTTGGTAGTGGTGGTGTGTGGTGATGGTGGTGGTTGTGATAGTGGTGATCATGGTGATGGTTGGTAGTGGTGGTGTGTGTGGTGATGGTTGGTAGTGGTGGTGTGTGGTGATGGTTGGTAGTGGTGGTGTGTCGTAAAAACAATTTATAACAGTGTTTGTTGGTGTGGCCTCACTCTGTAAACACGACCTCACATCCACCTGCTTGTCGCTTCTCCTGCTGGGGGGTCGGCGGGGGGTCGGGGGGTGGGAGGTCGGCGAGGGGTGGAGGTCGGCGGGGGGGGAGTGGCGGGGGAGGGGGCGGGGGGTGGGGTAGGGGTCTACTACTTCGGCCGAGGTCGGCGGGGGTACGTCCGTGTGTGTCTAAATATATAGCCTCAGACACACGAAATTAACGACGTCTACATAGTATCTTGTTTGGGGGCCACACACACACACACCCACATACACACACACACACGCACACATATACCGGTACATAAAAATACTGTGTGTGTGTGTGTGGTTACTATTGATTTACAATTCTCTCTCTCTCTCTCTCTCTCTGTCTTTCTCTCTCTCTCTCTCTCAGAGAGAGAGACCCTAGGTGGTGAATAAACTCGGTGAAAGAGTTATATTTTTGCATAGCTCCAATAGGTATAGGTCAACAGTAATTAGTGAGTCATTATTACCATAAACAATTCTGGTGGAGAGCAAATGACAGCTCCGGTTTAATTGGTAATAGTGGGAGAGGTGGAGGTAATGTATGATGGAATACAGGATGGCAGGTATGTATGTATGTATGTATGTATGTATGTATGTATGTATGTATGGATGGATGTATGTATCTCGTTTATTTACCTGTGGGTCTCATTAATTAATCCTAGACTGGCCTGTCTCTCAACCTTCTGTATAAAAGTACAGAACAAAACCCTAGAAATTATTGTTGTTTCATTTTACCCTCTAACAGTTTACCCTGTCTCTCGTTAACCTTATCTCATCAACACATATGACCTCTGACCTTTTGACCTCCCCGTACATTCCTACCCTTTTCCAATAATCAATGACCTTCTCTACGGTGGGCGGGTCGCGTGGGAAATAAGATTACCTGGTGGTTACTTCTCACCCGCCAAGAAGTGACCATCTTACCTGAAGAGCACTAATCACCTTGTACACCTGGGTGGGGGGGGGGTGGGGCGTCCGGTACTCCGTGACCCATTAGAACCTTCGGCTGCCAGATAATACTGTAAGGGCTTATAAAGATAGAGGAATGAAGGGCGCTAAGCTGATACGTGTCGATGTGGGGAACAGAAACAAAAATCACAGAAAATATCATACTTCGTAAATACCGTCAACAACTATAGTAATAAAACCGAAAGTATGTTAAATTGGTCGATAATTGGCAATATTTGACTAGCACAATATATCACGGCATTATAGGTATATTTCCACAAGTAATGAAGCACATATAGTTTGTCGTCGTACGAGTACAGGCAATAGCGACCACTGGGTCTTTTCACACATTTCCGCGGCAATTTGATACACATTGTGGCAGACTTTTTAGACCAAGTTAATTACTGTCCCCCCACCCACCCGCCCACACGTCATCCCCTCAACAGTACCGACCTCACAACTTTCCAATAATTGTTATGCTCTTATGTTCATTGATGACTAATAATTTTTTACGAATTTTATATAGTGATTGTAATTCTGTGTCGTATTGTACTGGACAAATTGTGCAGTTAGCCAAATGTCATGTTAGTTATGACAAATGTAAAATAATTGCACTGTCATAATTAGTTCAGTTACGTTACACCTCGCTGCAGATTGACGTAGTTGGGTTAAATTTTGGTTAACAGAAACATCAGTTAAGAGAGATATTAATTGATCACCTGAAGATTAGACCTTAACGCTGCCTCGGTGAGTTAATTAAGTTAGGTTACCACACACACACACACACACACACACACACACACACACACACACCAGCTGACACAGGGGCTCCGGAAAGAGCTTATTCTACCCTGACGTCATATGTGTGTTACGTATTATTACAGATGTGAATGTATAAGAACATAAGGAGTCTGCAATAGGCCGGTTGGCCTGTGCATGGCAGCTCCTGTCGAGAGTCGCTTGTAAGTGTCCAGTGTGTATGTGTGTGTGTGTGTGTGTGTGTGTGAAACCAGTTAAGTCACTTACAACTTACACTTAACTCTCTTTAGTAGTGTTCTTTTCGCCACCGTTTTATCACCCAATTATGTCTGTCTCCTATTATGTACACCTTTACTGTGTACATCTTTACTGTGTACACCTTTTATTATGTACACCTTTACTGTGTACACCTTTCATTATGTACACCTTTACTGTGTACACCTTTTATTATGTACACCTTTACTGTGTACACCTTTTATTATGTACACCTTTACTGTGTACACCTTTTATTATGTACACCTTTACTGTGTACACCTTTTATTATGTACACCTTTAGAACATAAGAACATAAGAACATAAGAAAATAAGGAGTCTGCAATAGGCCGGTTGGCCTGTGCATGGCAGCTCCTGTCGAGAGTTACTACCACTCTCTATCATCCATGAATCTATCCAGCCTCCTTTTGAAAAATTCCAGCGTTCCCGCACTTACTACAAAGTTGCTAAGCTTGTTCCACTCGTCCACCACCCTATTTGTGAACCAGTTCCTTCCTATCTCCCTCCTAAACCTAAACTTATCCAACTTAAATCCGTTGCTTCGAGTCCTATCCTGCTCGGATATTATAAGAACTTTATCTATATCCACACACTCAACCTCAGTTCATTACACTTTCATTTATCAGCTTCTCTCACTTACATTATAATGTAAGAGGAAATAAAGATAATGAATAATTATTCATTATCTTTATTTCCTCTTTATCAAACTCGTATTATGTATTCCATCTCTACACGTTAGGTTAGGTTAGGTTAGGTTAGGTTAGGCTAGGTTAGGTTAGGTTAGGTTAGGTGCTGCTTATTGGGACTTAAATCCAATCAGTTAATCACCTATAAGACGTTAAATCAATCTAGATTAAATTGTAAAATAATCTCTATTAAACTAACCTAACCTGTCATAACCTAACCTAACCAAACCCAACCTAACCCAACCTGTCATAACCTAACCTAACCTAACCTAACCTAACCTAACCTGTCATAGCCTAACCTAACCTAACCTAACCTAACCTAACCTAACCTAACCTGTCATAACCTAACCTAACCCAACCTGTCATAACCTAACATAAGCTACCCTAACCTACCCTAACCTGTCATAACCTAACTTAACCTAACCTAACTTAACCTACCCAAACCAACTACAATAAGTTAAGACTGGACCTATGTAGAAGATACAGAGGGTGAAGTATATAGGTCTGTCTCAAGGCACAGTCACGCGGGAGAGAGAGAGAGAGAGAGAGAGAGAGAGAGAGAGAGAGAGGAGGGGAGAGAGGAGAGAGAGGGGGGGAGAGAGAGGTGTGTTGCCAAGGAAGTGATGCTTGTGCTAGCTGACTTAGGGCGGAGCTTGGGGACGGGTAGTATATTTCCCATCCTCTATAACTACTCCACACATCTGCATAATTGGGAGGAAGTCAGGTGTCAACACACAAGGTCAAGAGACACCTGGGAATGAATGAGAGGAGAGAGAGAGAGAGAGAGAGCTATGAATCCTGAGCAGGGAGGACAAGGACCCTTCTGGCTGCCGGGAACCTCCTCATGTCTTCACGTGGGGAGGTGCAAAGTGTCGTGTTCTGTGTTGAGCTCATAAACTGGAGAATGAAATGGTTGCCTTAACATCACATGGATCACCAAACAGTTGCAACTATTTAATTGACACCACAAACGGCAAGTGACCCCCATAAAAATCCTAAACGACTAAGATAAGAACATAAGGAGTCTGCAATAGGCCGGTTGGCCTGTGCATGGCAGCTCCTGTCGAGAGTTACTACCACTCTCTATCAACCATGAATCTATCCAGCCTCCTTTTAAAACTTTCCAGCGTTCCAGCACTTACTACAAAGTTGCTAAGCTTGTGCCACTCGTCCACCACCTTATTTGTGAACCAGTTCCTTCCTATCTCCCTCCTAAACCTAAACTTATCCAACTTAAATCCGTTGCTACGAGTCCTATCCTGCTCGGATATTATAAGAACTTTATCTATATCGCCTTTATTGATTCCTTTCACCCACTTAAATACTTCTATCATATCTCCCAGCACTCTTCGTCTAGGGAATGTAAGTTTCTTTAACCTATCCTGATATGGAAGGTTTCTAAGTCCCAGAATCATTTTCGTCATTCTTCGCTGCACCAACTCCAGTGAAATGATATCCATTCTATAATAAGGGCACCGGAACTGAACCGCATAATCGAGGTGCGGCCTGACTAGCGCAAGATATAGTTGCAATAAGACCTCTGCACTCTTATTACTTACACTTCTAGATATAAAACCTAATACTCTGTTTGCCTTATTTCGAACATTAACGCACTGTTTTCCAGGCCGTAAGTCCGGGCTCCCCCTTTTCCTGATCCAGTGGTACAAAAACTTGGGAGAGAAACAGTTGGAATGGACTGCAAGTAACCCAGCTTGTTGGGTTTCGCCTTAGTGGCCTGTCCATCATGCATTGGCTTCATACACACACAGAGGGAAGTAGCAAAAAGAACTAATGAAATGGGGAGAGGAAGCATGAGATGTCGGCCAATGACATCTAATAGGTAGTTAGGTAGGGTAGGTATGTACGGTTAGGCTAGCGACCATAAGTCTGCGAAAATGGTCATTACGATCAATGTTATTATTCTTGTTATTAGAGAGCAGGTAATAACGAGTGATAAAAACTGATCCTATTGCTATTATTATTGTAAGTATTATTATTATGAATATTATTTATATAAAAGGAGAAAAATATTTTGCGGTGTTCACAATTCTTTCGCGCGTAATTTGGCGAGATAAGTTTTGTAAACTTGGAAACAGGAGACGACGTCACTTTTCTTGCCCCTTAGACAAATTTTTTTGTTTACATAATTTACTTCAACACCGTGGTCTGTGAGCATGTCGAGCTTGGTAAGTCCGGCGATTTTCAAGAGGATTTCGCTGTGAGTAACGGATGAATTGAGGCGTCGAAGCACAACTTCATCATCCTCACCCGTTACCTCACCCCCAAAGGGGACATCATGGTTCTCTTCGGGGACATCATGGTTCTCTTCGGGGACATCGTGGTTTTCCTTGGGGACATCGTGGTTTTCCTTGGGGACATCGTGGTTTTCCTCCGGGACATCGTGGTTCTCCTCGAGGACATCGTGGTTCTCCTCGAGGACATCGTGGTTCTCTTCGGGGACATCGTGGTTTTCCTCGGGGACATCGTGGTTTTCCTCGGGGACATCATGGTTCTCTTCGGGGACATCGTGGTTCTCCTCGGGGACATCGTGGTTCTCCTCGGGGACATCGTGGTTCTCCTCGGGGACATCGTGGTTCTCCTCGGGGACATCGTGGTTCTCTTCGGGGACATCGGTTTTCCCCGGGACATCATGTTTTCGGTCGTGGTTCTCCCCGGGGAACATCGTGGTCTCCCTCGGGACATCGTGGTTCTCTGGGACATCGTGGTTTTCCTCGGGACATCATGTCGTCGACATCTGGCTCCTCGGGCACATCGGTTCTCACATCTGGCCAGTGGTGGACTGGTTTACTCAGGGCCAAATAAAAGATTATTATTATACTACAGAGTAACAAAACAATACTCATTATTTATGACCATCACTTGGCTTAAAGTGATTGTTGAGACTCCATGAGGCTAAGAATTATTTAATAATTTCTTAACTGTTTTTTCTTTTTTTTAATGAAAAGGGGTGATGAATGCCCACCATTCTGAAAATAGGGGATCATCGTTCAGGAGGTATAGTGGAGAGGTTTCACGACCGATAAGAGCCATCCCATAGAGAATTTTTACAACGTTTTCTGCTCCTCAATTGTTTTCATCTATGCCTTTATAGAGAAGCAGATCGTTTTCAACCGATTTTTCCTATTCTCGATGCAGGAAAACGACCCCACCACACAGATCACCGGGAGGAATCACTTTGTAATTCATGGTAATTTCACACCTTAGCAACGTTATGTTCTGCCCTTCTACTACGTTATAACGGTGGGCCACTAGTTAATTAGGGTTGGATACCTATCCACCCATAGTACCTTTATGGAGTTCATTGAGTGTAGTGCAAACAGGGTAGCGCATTTATAGTGTCATGTATTGTGTAGTGTAGATAGTACCATGTGTACTGTAGTGGTACCATGTAGTTGATAGCCACGCGGTAGTAGATAGTGTACCATATGTAGTGTAGTGTTGATAAAGGCACATGGTGTAGTGCAGATAGTGTACCATGTGGTAGTGCAGAATATAAAATGCGGTGTAGTGTAGACAGTGATCATGTTTATATAATATGTTGCAGTATACATTGCAATGTAGTACATAGTGTATCGTGTAGTGTGAAAATACAGTGTATCATGTAGTGTAGTGCCATAAGTGTAATATGTGGTGTACATAGTGTATCATGTGTAGTGTAGTGTACATAGTGTATCATGTGTAGTAGTGTACATAGTGTAATATGTGTGTACATATATATGTGTAGTGTAGTCATAGTGTATCATGTAGTGTAGTGTATAGTGTAAATATGTAGTGCATAGTGTATCATGTGTGTGTAGTGTACATAGTATCATGTGTAGTGTACATAGTAATATGTGTAGTGTACATATGTATCTGTGTAGTAAAGTAGTATATATATAGTGTATCATGTGTACAGTATCATGTGTAGTGTAGTGTACATAGTATGTGTAGTGTACATAGTATCTTGTAGTGTCATAGGTATCATGTGTAGTGTAGTGTACATAGTAATATGTAGTACATAGTATCATGTGCAGTGTATCATGTGTAGTGTACATAGTGTATCATGTGTAGTAGTGTGTATAGTAAAATATGTAGTGTACATAGTGTATCATGTAGTAGTGTAGATAGTGTACCATGTGTAGTGTAGTATATAGTACCATGGTGTAGTGTAGTGTACCATGTAGGTAGATAGTACCATGTAGTGTAGTGTGTTATAAAAATATGGTGTAGTGTACCATGTGGTGTAGATAGTGTACCATGTGTGTGTGTAGTCATAGTGTACCATGTGTAGTGTAGTGTGAGATAGTGTACCATGTGTAGTGTGTAGTGAGATAGGTACCATGTAGTGTAGATAGTAAACTATGTGTGGTAGTGTATGGGTTGTGGAGAAAGGTCCATGTGTAGTGGTAGATAGTGTTCTGTAGTGGAGCATATATTGTCGGTTTTAGATTCCAGACTACTGGACGATACACCTTTCAACTCCAACGTAACACGGGACTACACCATCTTACAGTTGGTTTAGTAAATATTGTTGTTTGGTTTACATACTGAAATACTGTGCTTTTGTTTTACCTGTTTTTGGATGGATGTAAATGATCTTGTTTACAGGTTGTTGCTTACAGAGTTGAAGATATATGCGGTTTGTTTATTTGTAAGTCATGGCAACTCATTACGTGTGGTGTGTGTGTGTGTGTTTGTTTCATTAGCAGCCACTCCCACACTGCCCACACGCCCGACCTTGACATAGGGGCGTGGGGAGTGGGGGAGGGATGAGGAAGAGGGAGGGGAGTTATGGTGGGGGAGAGGTTGCCATGTTGGGAGGATGACAAGTGAAGAAGATTATGCGCAGTGTTTATATGTGTGTGTGTGTTTATGTAAGTGTCTTGTGTGTATTATTGTACGTGTGTTGTGTGTTCCTGTAGCGTGTTGTTTGTGTGTCAGTGCTTGGCAGTGTCTTGTGTGTTGATGTACTGTACGAGTCTTCTCTGTTAATGTACTGTACATCCTATGTGTTGATAATGCCGCGTCTCGTGTGTTAATGGTGAGTCATTGTAACAACAGATGACGTCATTAGGATTAGGCATTAGTGATGATGCTGTAAGACCTCTAGTGCTGGCTGACTGGGTGATTACAGTGTTATGTGACTGTGCTTGTCTTCTGTAATAACACACACACACACACACACACACACACACACACACACACACACACACAATAAATCAAATATGGTAACTACAGTGATGATGAACTAAACTATAATGTATATTCATGAAATCTCTTCATACCAGTACTAATGTTTATTTTCTATTCACAGGTGAGTTGTACAATGACCCGCTGGCAATGAAGGAACTCAGGTGATGTATAAATTAAAATGCGCCTAACCTAACGCTAACCTGACCTAACCTAACGCTAACCTGACCTGACCTAACCTGACCTAACCTAACGCAAAACCTGACCTAGCCTATCGCTAACCTGACCTAACCTGACCTAACCTAACGCTAATTCCACTGAACCTGACCTAACCTAACGCTAACCTAACGCTAACCTGACCTAACCTAACGCTAATTCCGACCTTGACCTAACCTGACCACCTAACGCTAATCAACTGACCTAACCTGACTCTTAACCTAACGCTAACCTAACCTAACGCTAACTCTGACCTAACCTAACGGTAACCTAATGCATTCGACCTAACCTAACGCTAACCCGACCTGACCTAATCTGACCTGGACCTAACCTAACGCTAATCTGACCTAACCTAGCCCGACCCAACCTGACCTACGCTAACCCGACCTGACCTAACCTGACCTAACCTAACCTAACGCTAACCTGACCTGACCTAACCTGACCTAACCTCGACTATCTGTACACTAACCAACCTGATCAAATGTTATTGTGTTATATGCTAAAATGCTAGTTACCTGTACAATCTCTTTATGGAAGAATCAGCCTGTGTTAATATTAAAGAAAATTTAAAGAATGTAAAAAATGTTAAATTATAAGCTGATGATGAGAAGAGGAAACTAAGTTTCATAGTTAGGTTTAAAGGGTTGACTTACGAACGAATTGGTTGTTGGGAGAGTGTTGTATTTATGGTTTACTGCTTCACGCCATCACGTGGGCGGCTGTGACTGACTGACTGACGACTGACTAATTGAGTGACGACTGGCTGGCTGACTGACGACTGACTGAATGACGACTACGGACTGACTGACTGACTGAATCCACGTCTTGTGTTGTGTATAACGTCTTTGTGAAGTTGCTGTTCAGGTATATACAGGTGAGGATATTACACACACACACTAAAAGATGATAAATTAACATAACAAAACACTGAACACACAATACCATAGCACTTAACCTAGGTTGGGTTAGGTTAGGTTAGATTGGGATTAGGTTAGGTTAGGTTAGGTTAGGTTGGATTGGGTTTCAATTTAATTTGGTTTAGTTTGGGTTTGGGTTTGGGTTAGGTTTGGAGGTTGGTTTAGGTTAGGTTTAGGATTGGGTTTGGTTTAGGTTAGGTTTGGGTTAGTTTTAGGTTTGGTTTGAGTTGAGTTTAAGGTTGAGTTTTGGAGTTAGGTTTAGGTTTGGTTTAGGTTAGGTAATTTTGTGTATAGCTTCTCTCTCTCTCTTCTTGTCACTATTGTTTGTTTTTGTTCTTGTTTGTTTTTACTTGTCCTCCTGTATCCACCTGTGGTCTCTCTCCACGGTCTGTTTGTGTTGGATGATTTAGGTCTCCAGTGGGTATTGTTTTGGTCTTGGCTTTTTTATTTGGCCTTTATTTGATTTTGGACTTTTTTGTTTGTTTTTGGACTTTTTTTTGTTTGCCTTGTTTGTGCCTTGGCATTGGTCACAAATGCTCTACACTCATCAGCACCAGTCCATCACCACCACTACAGCACCACCACCCATCACCACTACCGACCACCCATCACCACTACGTACCACCATCACCACCACCCATCACCAGTACCGACCACCCATCACCACTAGGACCACCACCCATCACCACTACGACCACCACTAGTCAATCACCATCGCCGTCGTCCCCGGCAGGTCGACTTCCTGGTATAACGAGGGTTTGTTATCTTGTCGTCCCGTTGTCCCAGTTGCTAATGATGCACCAGCCACGACTAATGGCCTTGTTGTACATCTTATGCAAATATGTATTTTATGGTGATCGCCTTCTGGCCTGGGAGGGTGTGGTCGTGATGTGGTGTCGTGATGCTGGTCGTGATGCTGTGATGGTAGTGTGGTAGTGTGATGTGTACTGGTATGAGGTGACTGTGTTTGGTGAGTGTGGTGGACTGTGGTAGTGTGGTGACTGTGGTGGTAGTGTGGTGACTGTAGTGGTAGTGTGGTGACTGTGGTGGTAGTGTGGTGACTGTGGTGGTAGTGTGGTGACTGTGGTGGTAGTGTGGTGACTGTAGTGGTAGTGTGGTGACTGTGGTGGTAGTGTGGTGACTGTGGTGGTAGTGTGGTGACTGTGGTGGTAGTGTGGTGACTGTGGTGGTAGTGTGGTGACTGTGGTGGTAGTGTGGTGACTGTGGGAGTATTCAGGTAAGAGAGATCGTAGGAACACCTCCATCTTTGACTCTTCGACACCTTGTATTTTTCTACCATGTTATTTTTAAACTTTTTCCTTCCATTGTATTTAGTTTCCACATTCGTGTGTGTGTGTGT